TAATATACATATTTATTTATATATATATTTACAGCTGGCATAAAAACTAAACCAGAAGAACACAAACATCACACAACCAAATTGCAGTACTCGTACTTTATCTCACTGCTGGTCAATATGCTTTTCAAAAGCCAGTGCAAAACTTCCTTTAAGAGTTGTAACTTTTCTTGCCACTTACTCATTGGTTTATTCCCTCAAGTACGGCACTGACACCTCCATCTAATATAAAGGGATTCTCTAAATCCCCTGAAAGTTTTAATTCTTTTTTTAAAACCCTGCTAAGTTCATGGCCTTAACAGTAGCCTGTAGCAATGAGTTCTGGAGGATGATAATGGCACTAAAAGAAGTTATTTTATTAGTGTTCAGACCTTTCATAGTGTGGAAAACTGCACGAGTGCCTTTGTTCATTGCCAAGGATTCCCATTACTCAATCTTTTCTCCAGAACCACGTTTGAGTCTCTCTGGAGGGAAACCGGTGCCCGAGAGGCGCTCAGAAGGATGACAGATGGTGCCTCCATGAACATGCTCTGATGAACTCCACACAAACCCTTTACACACCCTTCCCCAACTCCTAACGCAGTAAAGCGCTACCAGACTTTCCTGAAGCGCAGGATTTATCACTTGTTTTCAGAGTTCACGGAGTATTTAAGTTTTTATTTCGCTTGTTCTGCTTATTTGGACTGGGTCACTGAGATTTTCTTTTGCCTAAGCAGGTCTTTGAGCAGAGCCAAGCACTGATCATGCAAAGGAGCAATCCCGCAGGTGACCCTGGAACAGCCCATCTCCTCTCCTTGAGCAGACATCACCAATAGCCCAATACTTGTCTCATGCATGCATTCATCCTGCATGTGATTTTCTACTCAGATTATTGACAAGAATACATCTTCATACATTAAAATACTTATGTGCCCTTGTAGTGGTGAAAATCGTGCTCCCGAGTTCCGTCACTTGGGGATCACACAGCTTGATGGGCACAAACAGCTTCCCAAAGTTTAGGTTAAAACGTGCCTTGGGAAGAGGCATTTCAAGCCAAAACAGAAACAGTTTGTGGCATGCTAAAATAGAAAGACCATTTAGGTGGAAATAAGAATGGGACTCAGAGATCAGAAAGAAATATACTGGTTTAAAGCCTATGCATATGACTTGAACAGCCAAACTGATCACATTACACAGCAAAACCAGCTATGCTGCTCTTAACTGAGCAGCTTGGTAAATGAAGCAGTTAACGCTTGACACCATCTCCCATGTTGATCCACTATTCTGTATTTTTGCTTCTTTTTAAATGCAAGTTACGAATACTGCATCATTCTCTACAACATACATATTTTTAAATCATTTGCACAATGATCTGGAATTACGTATCCTCCTGTACACTCTTACTCCAAGATTTAAGCCCCAAAATATTTCTTGATTTTCCGTTTTGTTCCTCCTCTTGCACCAGTGGATCAGGAGATGCAAGGTGTTAAAATAAGGAGGTTTAAGATGAAAACAGTCACCACCCCTGTGGAGTTTAAATGTCAGACCAACACGGAAGTCTGAAAAACCTTTTCTCTGCTCCTTGTGTTTCTGCCCTTTCAGGTTTCCTTTTCTTCTTTCCCAGCTCCATTCTCTGACTCTAACCCTGCTGGTGGATTCAGTGCCTATAAAGCTTATTCACCCCAGGACCAGATTCAAGGAGTCTCCAGGGAACTCACAAAATGACTGTACACTTTAACAGTAATGGGCCCTCTGGGAGCCGTCCCCCATCAAATTATACACACTCGGGTATCCTGCCTAATAAGAAGGAGAGAGAAAAGGCTTGCTGACACAGCCAACGTTTGCAAACAGAAAGTCAGGACAAATTTAGCTTCCTTTGACAGGGTTGGATTGAAGATCAGAGGTCTCTGGTCCTTAACCTAGAAAGTCATGCTGCAACCCTGTGAGGATTTGACAGGCCTGCAGCTACCCCTGGCAGGTATCTTATGAGCTCCAGATGTTGTTATATTATCACTGAAGACAGAGCTGGAAAACTTGGTCCAGCTTTTAAAGAGAAATGTCCCTGCCCTTCAAAGGGATGATTGATTTCACAGCATTACAGGCAGCAGAGCTGAAAGGGCCACCCAGCCCTCCTCGGTGGGAGCAGTTACTCATCCGTATTTTCCCTTCTCGGCACAGCTCTTCCACATTGCGTTACTGGTGACTGCCACGAGAAACGTTTCAGGAACATTCAGATGTGCTCTGACACATTTACTGATGACTCTTTAATGGCACGAAAACATTTGTTCTGGAGATCCTGCAGTACAGATCCTACACTACTAACAAAGTAGAATAGTTTCTCTAACACTATTTTATCTATTTCCTTTATTTTGCTACAGCCAAATTCCTAGGTATTATAAATGGATACAAGTGCCGTTTCAGAGAATAAAGAGAAAAGCAAACCAAGCACAGTACCACAGAGAGAAAACTTACTATGCTGAACCACAGCATTTTCCATCATCTGTCTGAGAACCTGACTTAGGTCCTAGCCTTAACTTCTTTAACTATCAGCTCAATAGTACAGAATCTATTGATTAGAAAGTGCCATCACCTTGCATTTTTATCAAATTTTTCATGCAAGAACCTGAGAGCAGAATGCAACCAATTCAGTTCCTGTGTAGTCAGCAAGTATTATCCCAACCTAAGGGACACGGAAAACTGATCCAAGGGAGGTTAAGTTGCCCAAGGTAACACAGCGACAGAGCTGGGAACACAATGAAACTACTATTAAAATGCACACAGCTGTTCAGCTGGTTACAGAGAGTCTCCTGCAGTCTTTTCTTTCTGTTTGTTTGGGATTCTATTATTATTATTATTATTATCATTATTATATTATTTTTTAATATTAATGCGTCTGGTTTATTTACAGAGAGACAACTGGAGAACAGGATCTTAACATTCAAGTCACATCACATTATTTTAGAGAATTAGGAAGAGAATAAAGATTCTTATTTATCCATAATGCAGCCAGACAGGCAGCAGAGAGAGGGGCATTTCACACTTTCACACAGAACGCTCTCACTCTTGGTCTGAAGACCATCACCAAGTTATTCTAAACTAAAACATTCTGGAAGACTTTGTTACACCCAAAGGAGCTCACAACCGAATGCACAGATGGGGAAATTGGGATGATGCCCTTAATTACAGAACCTTAAATTTATTAGATTGTAAAAATTACTTGAAAACATACTGATAAAGCAAGTTACTAAGATTTATGCTGTTTTATTTCCTGCTGCATTACCCTACTCGACACTAAATATTTTTGAGGAGCAAGAAAAGAAAAAGGAAGAATATTTAATCCACTAATCTCTGGGGTGAAGAATCAACTGCAGCAAAATTTCGCTTTAATGCTAGGCAGAGAGGGAGAGCAACCAAGCTCCCCAAAAGCTGTCCTTTGATCTCCAGCAGGTTAATATCATAGGTCAAACGTCTTCCCTTCTGACTGCATCTGAAATCTTGGAAGGAAGATGCACAAATACAGCAGCATGCCACACTTCTGACCCCTGCTTTTATGCCCTCTTGAGTCCCTGACCCCTATTTGTTACACAAACTACAAAAGCAGATGAAAGGAAGCTAGTGCAGTAGCTGGAAACTCGGGTTCCTTGAACTGTGGCTTGAAGGTAAGGAAACCGGAATTTAAGCCCCCGGATCAATCTGAACTTAGAGCATTTTGACAAGAGGCCTTCAAAGAAAAATCTTCTTTTCCCTGCCTGGAAGATAGCAAGATATAGATCTTTCCAAAATACACTTTAACCTTCTTAGTAGTTTTATTCTTACTGCTCCCATTCTCTCATCGGTCCTTGCTTCCTGGAATTGCATCCATTTCAGTAAGATTTGCCTTTTGCTTACATCACCACGGGAAGTTAAGCAGGCAACAAAACATCGTGGGAAAAATTTTCCAAACTAATTTTGGAAAGGGAGATCTACTCATTTATTAAACTCAAGCCCCCAGGAAAGGGGGAAAACAAAAACCAATGAAAACAACAAAACAAAATTCAAAAGCACCTGAAATGATCCTTCCTCCCTCAACAGATTTAATCTAAAAAAAAAAAAAAAGAAAAAGAGTACTTGAAGATTCCTCATGAAATTTTAAGGCTAGAGCAGTATAATCTCCAATATCCTATTCCAAACCATGGACTGGAACTGTGACGGGGAATAAATCCAAGTTTAATAACAGCAGAAGTGATCTCTTATTCTACTCTCAGTTGTCCATTATTTCAGATTATTGTTTGTTATTTGCAATTTGTGATGGTAAAGGAATAAATTCTGGATTCTTTAATATAAGGGCTTAGATATTTAAAATAACGTCAACATACATCCTATGCGCATTACATCGAGAGAAATGACGTGGGACTTACCTTCTGAAAAACCTGATAGTTGGATTTAGACCATATGTCAAGCTACAGTAGGAAAAAAAAAAGAGATCTATATTACTACATGTGATTACCAAGAAATAAAAGTTAAGCAACTGTTCAAACTAAAAGAGCAGGCAAATAATCTATGGACGTATTTCTCAGTTCATTGCCTTTACCTGTTTCAATCTAAGAAAGGGAATTAAGGACATATGATTTCCTTCGCATTGCACTGAAGGATGAACATAGCTCCTCACAGTTTCAGTAAAAAAAATTATATACACAAGACCTGTTGAATTAACACATTCTCTTTAAAAGCAGCAAAATCTTCATTTGTATGGGGTTGTGGCTGATCTATGCAAATATTCATCAGCTTCAGCCTGTTTCTAAAATGAGGGCATTTTTACTAAGTTTATGCTTGTCTTGTGTCTGAATAAGTGATTCAGTTAGAAACGACACAAAGAACGTTTAGCTGAATTAAGCCAAAGCAGTGGTCTACTGGGGCTAAATAAAACATCCCTTAGGAAAGTGCATTTACATTTGCAGACAAAAAACACACTAAAAGAGATTTAAGGTTGCATATAACTGCACAAATCCATGACTTAAACGTGTGCTCAACAAGAAAAAATCTAAAAGACCAAAATTGAAATAAGTTTTATTAACCCCAAAACCGAGAAGGTAAGGCTGTCCTTGTTAAACAACCAAATAGCTCACACGTTAAACCATTTCAACTGACACCCTAATGCTCTTTTAGCCCAGCCCTATGGAATCTCTCATGCTCTGTCAAGGAAAAGCAGCAGAAAAACACAAGAGGAATTTCCATAGGTGCCAGAATTGCGAATCACTTTTTTTCTAGAGATCCCACTGTACTCAACAATTCCATATGCACAGAACTTGTCACAGGAAAGGTGTCTGCTACAGCACCAACCTCAGGAATCTGCAGCTAGACAAAAGAAAATATTGTTTGAGTGAAATTTTGAAGCAAGTCTCACTCCTCCAATGCTTGATAATACGGTTGGACACATGCTTTCCCACAAACTTCAGCTGATTATTTTAATTCTACCTTATAGCAGTGCCCATAAGTTCTAGCTTAATTTCCAAGTCTTCTAAAAGGCACAAAAACTAGAGTCTTAAATGAAGGAAGTTGTATGAAGCAAGTCAAACACACTAAAGGGGAGTGAAGGAGGAGAGCGGGTGGGAAGCTGAACCCAAGTAATTAACTCACATTGCTAAAATCATTCAGAGTGCTAAAGTACCCATTCTTTATGAGTAACACTGTTCAGTGACCCACTTCTGTATAGTGGTACAGATGTGACTCCCGAGTCCCCAAACCTCAGCTTGGACAGGAGGCGACGTTAAAGACTTTAAAAAGCACTCCAGGATAGATGTTTTGTGGCTTAGCGCCACCGACCCTGCTGTGAGACAAAGGCAGCTGCTGTCCCCATGCCTTTTCCAGGTGAGACGAAGCCAGCGGTACTCTGAGGCACGAACCAGGAAACCTTTTGGCATTTCCTGGCTCTTGGGGTGCGATCAAGAACCTGAACCAGGAAACCTTTTGGCATTTCCTGGCTCCTGGGGTGCGATCAAGAACCTGAACCAGGAAACCTTTTGGCATTTCCTGGCTCCTGGGGTGGGATCAAGAACCTATGTGAACACCATCACCACTCACACTCTAGGGTCCACAAGCGGCTGTTCAGCCTGGACTTGGACCTCAGCTTGACTTAATAACAGACCTGTGCCTGTTGGGAAGGAAGCACTGCATTTCCATATGAGAAAAGTCTACATTTGAAAATAAAAAATTCATGTGTATTTTTAAAAAAACCTGTTTTCATGTAATTTAAAGGCTTTCTTTGGCTGCAGACAGAGCCGCTATAATTGGAATGTATATATGGTTTTGCTAATCTCCAGTGATCAAACCGAGTATGTGATGGTCTCTAGTTAGACTCAAGATCTAAAAAAAATTGTAAAAAAGTCCACTTCAGATGCAGCATTAAGATGAGCCCAACAGGTTCTGAACGTTCATTAGCTGGCACCAAGATTGAAAAGCTGAAAAAGTAATGAATGTCTGTCTTACAGACATGATGTTATCCAAGTTCCAAAAAAAATAAAAGAAAAAGGAAAAAAGAAAAAGAAAAAGCTACCAAACCCCCTAAGCTGCATGCATACATCCTAAATGACTGCCCACCTTTCCCCCTGAACCAGAGGATTAAGGCAGAAGCGGATTAAAGAATGCATCATTATAGGTCTATTATTCTTCAACTTTTCACTTTCAATCAAGACACACATTTGTAACTAAAAAACTGCTGAAAGCACAATTTCAGGGCATCCTCTGCATGTGAATGAAACTGGGGCTTTTTTTTCCCAATGCCCCACTCTCCCCACCCACCCCAGCATAAGCAACAAGAGGCCATTTTCTGAAGGTCGTCTGAACGATTTCAAAGGCGATAACAAATCAGAATGTTCCCTGCATCTAATATCAAACAGGTCCGGTGCCAACACTTATTAGAGAAATCGGATTCAACCCCCCCTTCACCCAAACACACACACATCCAGCTTTGAAGTGGAAAGAATGCAGGGATCAGAAATTACCCGAGAGACAGCTCTGCCTGTCTTTGAAGCTTTCCTTTGATACTACTATTTCTTTTCCTCTCTTACGCTAGGAGGCTAAAAGCTGCCTTTTCTTATTGATATGGGGTAATTAATGAAGCCAAAGCATTAACATAACCCAAGTTCCTTAACAGGGTAATTCAACAGAGACACTTAATGTTTCTTTAGTTAAGTCTAACGGATGCAAAAATAGGAATTTTGCTAGGCATGGATGTTAAGTACCCACTCTAAATACGCCCTGTCAAGGTGGTTCTTGGTCTCTGCATCCAAACAAAAGCGCTGTATTATTGTGCCAAAAAATCCCCATACGTTTCAATTTTTATTGGCAGGCTAGGGCTACTAATGGCTGAGCTGACAATAAGCCTGCCCTGCGAGGGTGAGCTGCATAGCTTCATTTATTCAGGAATCAGGACACCACCAGTAATTAATTACTACCCGTGGTTAAATTCCAGCGCACAATGAGTATGTCAAAGTTTGAAATTAAGGGTGGCACGGCGCCATCGCTAAAACCACGGGGCTAATTAAAATGCATCAGTATGTGGAGGATGCGATGGGTTAGCTTGGTAAGCAAGAGACTGCAGAGAAATCAGCATCCAGAACCCACGACATGACAGAGGCTGCCAGATCTCACCTATTGTTTTTGCAAAGTGTCACCAAAAATGGCTAAGTTATGCAGCTGGCAACGTGGCAAAGACATACTCTGCAGGGATTGTGAATAATTCACGAGAGAAGTACATGAAGCACTTAAGAAATGCAATGATTCTTTGTCTGCATAAGCAAAGCTTGAAAATAAAATCCCAAAACGCAGTGTCTTATTTTACTCACTGTGAGCTTAAGACTTCTATTTTTCCACCTTAATTTTGAAACTATTTAAATCTGTAAAGGGAGCGCCCAATTTAACCAGACTTCAGTATAGCAGAAACCACATGAAGCATTCACGTAAGTACCTGTCAACCTACACAGCACAACGTACAAGCACACAGCGAACTAAAGCAACCTGGATAATGCAATGTCAGCTTTCCCACGTATGCCACCTGCACAGTTCCACACCTATCAGAAACAACCGTATTTGCTTTTTTTTCTAGACTTGCTTGACTAATAGACCAGAAGACTATCAAGAAGACTATCAATGCTCTGCTGTTTGCACTCATCTCCTTCTTTCTTCTTCCCAGTGATGCCAAGGCTGCAGAAACAGTTGTACTTTTAGAGTTAAACGATGACTCCCCTGATCTGCAAGCAGATCTTTGGCCTCTTTGGTGCACAGCCCATTTCTCACTTACTGCCTGTGAGACCATTCAGTCTCCTGATGATGGCCGTTTCTTCTTTTGTTGAATATTACTGAATGTATTGTGTTGCCCCAAACTCTGCTCCACTTGGAGAAAACTCCCTCCTGAATTTCACTTTTGTTACTTGAAGAGCCTTCTGCCTCATGCAGTGAGGAGGACAACTCAATTGACCCTCACTCTGCTATTTAAGTGTAAAGAAGTACAACAACTTTATCCAGTGTCCCCGCTTCAATGTGGCTTACAGAAAAGACAGGAACTTCAAAATTGCCATATTTTATGACACCATCTAGTTCATCTTATCACTGCTTTCTAGGAATACATAAGCTAACCCCTAACTCAGCAATTACTGCGTAAACTGCTCACTGGAAAAATGATCACCTCCTACTGTGATCATGAGGGTTCTCTGTATTTTTGTTATTTAATAAAGGAGATGTTCACTGATCTCTTTTTTCTGTGCTCTTCTGGGTCTCTCCTGAATGCTAGTGCAGTTTCCTCCTATCAGGCTAGAATCTGAGGAGCAGGGGTGGTACGGTGAAACGGCACTGGAGTACTTTCCCAACAGCATCTGTTGTGACAGAGAAGGAATTGGAATGGACTGTGTTTGCAATTGACTGTAATCGCTCATTCCCAGCAGGCACAATAAGTAAAGCGAATCACTGCAAGAGCACAATCTTATTCTTATTCTCCAATTACCAGTGTAGTTAATTAGTGAAAAAAGGGAGCTCACTGTTTGTCAATATGTGCTCCAGTTGGCAAAACTAGCAAGCTACGCATTTATTCAATCTTCCAAGCCAAATTCACTCACGATTTAACTGAGCTGCAACTCCAATTCAACTTAAGTCAAATGAAACGTTCCTATTTCTACCTAAAGCCAAGTTTGTAAAAGCCCTGGGATGGCCCGGTGGAATAGCAAACTGCCACATAAAGGTCCGTGAATCGTCGTGGGAGCAGTCACATAACCTAGCATTGGACACAGAAAGCTAAATCGGTAGAAAACAGACTCTCCTACAGACTGGCTTAAAGCAAGAAAACAAGCCAGGTGTTAGCACTGATGCTCTGGAGGAGCTGAACTGCTCCCCACTGACAGCAGCCAAAGGTTAGGGCCCCATGCCCAAAGCTGGCCTTGGTGAGTCCCGCTCTCCCTCTTGCAGCAAACGATGACAGAGGAACGGTATATGGCTCTCAAGAGAGTTAACCTTGAGCTAAACAGAAGCCCAATGCCAGATGCCGAGTTTCAGAAAGGAACTCTTTTACTTAGCTTTTCAGCACATGTAGCATTATTATATTTCAAGGGAGCTTCAAAGGAAACTGGATTCATCAGAGAAAATGAGCACACCCAAATGAAGTGTGACACAGGAATCCATCAAGCACTGTCAATGCTCTTTCAGCAGACTATCATTTCCCTTCCAAGCAGAACCTGGGGTGAAGAGGGGCTGGTGCTGTAAGTCTGCATTTATATGCTAATATACAGGGAGTACAGTGCAGCTGCTTCTGCGGCAAAGTGGTATTTAAACCTGCATATTTGAATAATGCAAATCAAAAATCAGGCAATTTTTATTTTACTACTTCTTAGGCCAATCCCCTGCCCTTCAAGTGAGAATCTCTCACCTGGGAAATACAGCTGCACTATTTCCTTCAGCAGATCAGCTCCTGGCCTTTTCTAGGGAACGGAGGCTCAGCCTCAGAGCCGCTGAACTCTGGGTCAGTACACAACGTGCTTGTGTGCGCTACAACACAGTTATCACTTCTGAACGGAGAAGAAGTCTCACCTCATTATAACATGGCCTATGGGTGCCAAGTACTCATCTTGATATAATGAACTTTTTATTTTAATAGGCTTCATAATCAGAAGAGAAAGCTCCAGAGAGAATATGTGAAACATGGAGGTATTTAGTACTGTTACTGGCAAAGGAGAGTGCTGGCTGATGTCTCGGTAAGAGACCATTCCACCCCGAAAAGAGAAACAAGCTGAGCTGAAGGCCGTCAGGTCCCATTAACATCTCCTGATGCGCCGAAGAGAGCCATATGGAGTGTGTGCATTCAGAAGAAATTTGAGGGTTCAAGCAGGGTGAATTGTTCATAAAACAAATCACTTGCGGAAACAGGTAACACTTGCTTTAATAGCTGCTCTTCAAGGTGTGCTATTACTGACAAGCAAATTATTGAGGACTACCTACCAACGATTCGCACAGTTGAGTTTATCAAGTTGAGCACAAAACTAGCCTAAGATTTCCCAATGGCTCTCAGAAAGAGAAATCTGAACCTTGGGCTATTGATGTGCTGGTACACTGAAAAAAAACAAAACGTTTTCTCAGTAGATGCTATTAATGAAGCAACCAGGGTCTAAGGTGATAAATTAGAAATTCAAGCAAGGCCTTCCGAGCTGAGAAAGAAGTCAGACATTTGGGTATGAAAAATCCAAGCAAACCATGATAAATTTAAACCTGAGCATTCTGCAAAACATCAGAGAGTCTTCTGACAGTTTTATGTTTCTAGCATACTTGTGATGGGATTCCTGTCCTCTGTCGTTTAAGTACTAGGTAAAAATCAAATTTCATGTTGCTGGATAGACAAGAACCTACCTTGCCATCTTCGGTATAGACATTTTCGTTGTACCCTTTCACTATTGTCCGGTCAATGAAGAGGCTCCGCATCACCACTATCACTTTCAACACTTTTCCTAAGGTAACCTGTCAAGAACAAGAGAAGGACAAAAACAAGCTCATGCAGAGTCGATGGTGTCTGAATTCACAAGACCATCAAGTTAACAGCCTAAGTTGATGCAATTTCACTTTTCAATATTTTATAGACAGACCAAAATAAGAGATCTAAAACCACTGTGTGTGTTATGAGGAAGAGCTAGACTATAAAGCGCAGAACAAACAAACATTCATTTGCAACTGAAAATGCACAAATTCACAGAATTCCCTTGTGCAGGCCTGACACTGCCAAGCAACTCTCTCAATTTTATTAACACTGCAACTCAGTAACTTGTCAAAAACAAGCTGCAAATGTGATTAGTTTCTATGTATTTGATATTCTCTAATAAGTCCACTTAAAGAAAAAGAATTTGAACGAAGAATTGGACTCTTCTGATGCTAGCTTTTAAAAGCATGCCAAAGCATTTCCATTAAGGGAAAACATTTTTGGTCCAATCAAAATGTAAAATTATTAAAAAGGAAACTAGAGCTAAAAAGTAAAAATGTTACGTTTTCAAAGGTTTCATTTTCTTCTGTGAAAGCGGTAAAGTGTAAAGAATAGAACTAGTATCATAGTAAATATATCGGGTCAGTCAGAGTGTAACAACAGAAATAAGCCCAAATTATGTTATTGACAAAAATGCAATAATGAAGGCATTTTAATCTAAAAATCAATTTACATTTCAAAGATGAACTTGCACTGCAATTTTGTTAAGATCTGTGTCTAACAATAATTCTATCTTTGTATTTTGTTACACAGAGATCACTACAGAGTTTCACCTCACCCACAAAAGCATAACACCAAGATAGAAAAGAACCTATCAGTTCATTTTAATATTTCCCAACTTTCGGTGGCACATTTTCCATTGTCTGTGTTCCAACATTTCATCCAGCGTAGCTTAACACATGCCAGAACAACTGTGTTTTTACTGCTCACCTCAGCAGACAAATCCACACCCAAAGAAATCAGTCAATATACATCTTTATGGAGTTGTTACGTTTTTCCTTCTTACTTCCTGCTAATGACTCCTACCTACCACCTTGTTACAACATGAGTAAACTCAACCTGATGCTGGCTAACTAAGAGATTAACACGCAAATCCACTCTCAAGTGCCAAGTTGTTTTCCCCCACCAAGGAGGAAGACAGAAAATCTGGCTGAAAGACTCCATCTCAAGGCTGATCACAGAATCACAGAAGGGTTTGGGTTGGAAGAGACTTTAAAGCTCATCCAGTCCAGCACCTCCCACCAGCCCCGGCTGCCCAAAGCCCCGTCCAACCTGGCCTTGAACACTGCCAGGGAATGGGCACCCACAGCTTCCCTGGGCAACCTGTGCCAGGGTCTCACCACCCTCACAGTCAAGAATTTCTTCCTAATGTTTAGTCTGAATCTCCCCTCTTCCAGTTTAAAACCATTCCCCCTCGTTCTATCGCTGCCTGCCCTTGTAAAAAGTCCCTTCCCAGGCTTTCCTATAGGACCCCTTCAGGAACTGGAAGGCTGCAATAAGGTTCCCCTCCCTCAGTTGGTCCTTGTAGGGGAGGTGCTCCAGCCCTCTGATCATTTTTGTGGCCCTCCTCTGGACCTGCTCCATCAGCTCAATGTCCTTCCTATGCTGGGGGCTACAGAACTGGACGCAGCACTGCAGGTGGGGTCTGACCAGGGCAGAGTAGAGGGGCAGAATCTCCTCCCTCGCACTACTGGCCACACTTCTTGTGATGCAGTCCAGGATGCAGTTGGCCTTGGAGGAGGGTCAGGAGGGGAAATGGTGGCAGGAATGGGCTGACAACAGAGCACGTTGCAGAACAGTTACCCAAACTACTCTAAATGCTGCTTATTTTATGACTACATAGCAGGACAGAGTTACAAATCCTCAAAAGAGCTGATGACAATTCCTTGGCATGAGGCATGAAGAAAGCAACTCTAGAAGAGAAAAGTCTAAGCAATGACAAGAACAAGCTGACAAGGGAGAGGACAGGGAAACAAGAAGGGTAAAGAGTCAAAGACAGGCTTCAAGAAGATGGGCTGCTAGGCGTGATTTTGAAAGAACATGAAGAACGGGTAAATTTTTGAAGAAAGATGTTACAGGCTGAAGTAGGGTACCTTGTATCAAAACCTGAGTTATGCACATACCATGAGTAGCTTTTTCCTACTTTCTTAAAATAGACTGGGATTTTCTGAACAGGTACAGAACTGCCTAGTGTCCTCAGGCAACCATATCATGATATCAGGTGCTGTAAACTCGGGTCTAGATGTAGTATCTTGCTGGGATACTCTGTAATAAGACCTAGTTAGTCTGCAAACAAAGTAAAATGGCAGAGTTATTTCAGCACTTACCACTGAATTAATTAAGTTAAATACAAAGTCATAATCCAGAGGAGCCTGATCTAAGATGCTGATCACTCACTGGAATAAGAAAGACGATTTTGTCGTAACTGCTAAGCTGAGGAAATGGAGTGACTTTGAAAAAAGCTGTCAGCACATCTAGAGTTAACAGTTTTTTATTTATTCTTCTGCCTTAGTAAGACTGGCACTTCACTAGGACACAGGTCTACTGAGAGAACTGACTCTTATAACATCAACCATACACAGTACAATTAAAAGGAGGAAAAGAAGAAATTTTAAACAGAAAGGAATCTTACTGGAAGAGCGAAAGGGCCGCCCTACAAACACACAGATCCAGCTTTATGCATAATGTTTTTTATTTTATTTCTATCTAATATTTTTATGTATAATATTTTCATTGCTTTCACACAGCTTAGCGGATGCTCACTTCTTTCCTCTTCCCTTACGTTCTGCATTCATAATATCTCACATTGCTGCCAGGTGGAAAAAAAATTGGATGAAGTTGATCTGAAGCCTGTGTGGGATGTTCCTGAAAATCCTCAGAGTGAACAGTGGAACATAACAAGCTGAAAAATCCCATGTTTGGCACTCCAGCTTGCTTGAATACACTTATTGCTGGCCTCAAACCTCCCCACGCAAGACTCACCTGCACAAATGCTTTCAAAACCCTCCTGCATTACCTCATGGCCTTTTCCCAGGTCATTTGTTTTTGCATTCCTCCAAAGATTCACTCTACACTTCCACAATCCCTCACAGCTACCCAGACCCCAGCTATCATCCATCACACAACCCTGAAAGGTCACATCCTGCAGACTGGTCTGGGACAGTCATCTTGATCCCCCACTTGCTTGAACGTTGAACTGGCAGGGTTACGCCATCTCCCATGCGTGAGGAGCTGTGTAAACCCATCCTTGGATGGGTACCAAGACTCTGAGCTCCCTGAGGGAGGCACAACTGTTGCAATCTCACCTTAGACTATGGTTTGTGCAAAGGGATCATCTCCGGGAGTAGGGGCACCCCAGCACTGTGGTAATACAAGTAAATGATAGAAAACATTGCAACTTCGGCTGGGTTAGTGCTAGGTTGTTCTTACACTGATGCTGAAACAGAAAACTTTCCTATTTTGTGTTGTTTTGACATGAGATTCCTGCAGGTTTTCTACTGACTGGAAGAGAGGTCAGGACTTTCCGATCATTTCTGTAGGACCGTACCATTAGTTAAGTCTGACAGAAGCAGAAATTTTGTAAAACTACGCGTAGCTGAGAGAAATTATAGTTCATCATTTTAACAGCGCTGAAAGAAGGAGGCTAGTAGTACAAAGAATGAACAACAGCCTGTCACTAGACTGGAGGATGCTGTTAGATTTGGAAGCCAAATGTATGCTCCATAGCTATTTTCGGGGTAAAGCACATTCTGTATTGTACACAATAAATGGAATACCTTTTATGTTTTCCACTAATAATCAAGACTTGGTTTCAGGACTTAATGTTTTTGTTCACCTCAACAATATTTTACAAATCATGTTTTCCAGCAACCCATTTTCTTTCAACGCCTGCTCCGCTTCGCTACCTGGAGTCTATGTTCACAAAAAGATCCATGTATGGAATATAATTTATACCTATAGTCATACAACTGCGTCCCTACAGATCACCTGAAAGAAGGTAATAAAAAAACCGAATGGCTCTGGTAAAGAAGTAATTTGATAGCTCTACTCTGAGCTCCAGTAGAGCAGGGTTCTCCTTCTGGAGGTCAACACTCACCCACATGGTCCCTATTTAATGGTCACTGAAATGTCCCTGCATTTCCACAGGTATCAACTGAAAGAAACTTCTTTCATTATACAGAAGAGATACCTTTCAATTGTGACAAAAAGGCAACAATTTCCTTTCTAAGCCAACTTTTCCTATTAAATTTCGACTTCTTTTGTCGATATCCTGTTAAGACAGCACTTGGCTTTTTAATATTTTGCCTGAAGGATATATGCCAGCTCGTCCTTGATGTAGAAAATTTTAATTCAAATCAATACATGTACAAGGTCACTTTAAAATTCAATTAATATGAATGAAAAAATATGCCCCACAGTTCTGTGAGCTGAAAATGGAACGGCTGCAAGTTAAATACTTCTGTAGCTTCTGTTTTGGTCTGTGTAATAACAATGTACTTGTGACTTCCTTTTAACTAAAGTATACTAAATTCAGACAGTTAAGTTATTCATAAATCCTCTGCTTCCTAAAACGGCAAGCTCATGAAGAAGGTAGGACAGGCAGCTGATTGAAATCTGCAATGTTATGCAGCTTTTCTGACAAAGATATATAAAATAAAAATCTTCTCGAAATATCCCAGTTTTAAAAATATTTTGTCTATCACCGAGATAATTCTCAAAGAGCATATGACAGACACCGCATGCCAGGAAAGGGGGAAGGAGAGGCAGAATAATCAGGGAGAATGGCTTAGATAATTTCTTGTAAGACTGCTAAAAAAGTTCCCATTCGACATCACTTACAATCGGAAGA